GTTCCCTTGAAAGATTAACAATAATATCAACAACTCCTTTTCTAGGCACTAGAAAGTAAAATGATAGTAGGAATAATACATCCTTTAGTTTTGATTGAGAGAGGTGCCGGAATTGCTGTGTCCCGTGAAATCCAGCTGAAAGGATCCTGTTGAAATATGCCAGCTGGAGGAAGTATTATTTATAAAAGCAACAAGCGATGTCCACTAAGGAAGCAGAAATAATGTGGAAAAATTTTGTTTCAAAACTCCCATTCTAATGCTCTCTTCACTGGATGTGCATGTAAATTAAATATGCTTTGTTTAGTGTTTCCAATATTCCCCCAAACCTTTCACTGAGAGGACTTCTTTCTGATCACTTTGCATATGGAATTTCACTGACTCAAAAATGGAGATAACTGCAGTGCAGATTTTGGATACCACTTAAATTAGGCACAGCCTTCCTGATCAAGATGAAATCCAAGTCTGTGTTTAAAAATCCATTGCAGTTCACAGTAGATGGGTGTCCTGAGGGCTCTCTAGAGCCCAAAAGCACCATATTATACCTTTGCTTTCTCTCCTCCTGACCCATGTGAGAACCCTGTCCTCCAGGCAGGGTCACTCTTGGAAAAAGATACCCAGCAAGTCACAGCATTCCTTATGAAGTAGCCTATTTTCACTACCTGTATTAAGATAAATGAAGTTGTATTGGTGCCAGGTCTTTGAATCCAACCATTTTTTTTTTCCGAACAAACAATAAAAGTTTTTTAATTAAATGTTTTTAATATGAGAGAATAAGTTTGTTAGTTGTTCAAGTGCCTGAGCTGATCTTTAAGATAATCTGGATACCTTGATAGGAACCCCACATGAGAAATGTTAGGCTCTTTGATGAGATTTTGATACTTTAAGAAAACTAAAAATTAGTGTTACTTGAAGAGCCATGTGAAAGATTAAATAGCCATTCAGAAAGGAGTGAACAATAGCATTCACGTATATTTAAAAACCTATTAAAACCCATCCCAAACTAAAGGCAAGCACCCAAGCACAATCAGTTCAGAGACAAAACCACATTAGTAGTAGTATTCTCAGAACATCAAGAATGCAACTCCTGAGATAAAATGTGCATCTGAAACTCTGAGCAGAAATATCAACTGTAATCTCCTGATCAGTTGTAAACAGTGACTCTGGGGAGCCTCAGAGGCCATCTGGTCCAAAGTTCACATGAGACTGGTGCCTCGAGGTGGCTCCCCTGTGTTGGAAGGATGGCAGCCTCGCACCACAGGGATGTCTGTCCCTTAAGGCTCACAGACCTTCCCTCACAGCACAGAGTGTGACAACTGTCCTCTGGACACGGCACTTGCCTTCCTGAGGGATGGCGCAGACCTCAGGAGATTTTGAGAAGGCCTCCTGGTGGGGGTTGTCAACAAATCCAAAGCACAAGGTCTTTCTTCCTTTAATAACCAATAGACACTTCCACATATAATGCTTTTTAAGGAAAACTAAAGTATTTTTACTAGTTAAATACAAGATGAGTTATTATGGATTACTTTTATTTAAGGTTCATAAGATAAACTCCCCCACGTTGTTAGAATTCAAAGAAAAAGGTATTGTATACTTAATACATCAAATGCGAAACTGGCAAAGTGCTGTCATGAATGAATGTAAACAGTTACTGTGTCTCATCCTCGGAATTTAACCAGTCTTATGAGGTGATTTATGATTTTCAAAGTGTTGCTTTTTTCTCTTTGTAATTACAAAGGAGTGTTAGTTTAGCTTTATCACTTTCAATTTAATCTCCTAAGGATTATTTGCCTGGTTACTGAGGGTTGTTGGGTTAAAGATTGTTGGGATATTTAGTTGATGAATTTTTAACTTTACAATACTGGTGATGCATATTCTTCAAATAACTAGTTATTAAGACATGTACATATTCAGGTTTCAGTGGGCATCATTCGTGTCAGTAGTGCTGAGGAAGATGTGTGCAAGTCCCCCAGTGCTGCCTATGCCCTCCTCCACCAAGTGGCTAACAGGCTAAAACCTCACTGGTGAGGTATGCTGACTGAATCTGTGCAAAGTAAGATCAGCATGCTATCAGTACAAGTGTGCTAAAATGCTAATTTTTGGTAAAAGAAGGAATGAATCTGTTAGATGCATTTGAGGCTTTGGTTTAAGGAAAGAAGGAAGGAGAGAGGGAAAGAAGAATTGGAGCTTCAAAACACAACATGTGACATAACCTACAATGTGTTAAAGACAGAGTCTCTAGCTAGGGAAAATAGTCAAGTTCCCAAAGAAACCACTTTAGCATAAGGGAAACTACATGGGTAAAGACCTTATCTCGTAGGCCAGTCCTACCTTGGATTTTCATACACCCAGACTGCGCTTCTAAGCCACCAACAGAATGAGCAGTGTGTTTATTTTATGAGAATTTCAAGATTCTAGTAGGATTTGACTTCACATAATCTGAAATGTCTTCTTCTAGAGACAATGGTCTCTAGTTATCTGAGGTTTAAACACCATCATCCTGGCTGAGTTAAGGCTCATAGCAGTCTTGAATTCTATGTTGTAATGACCTTGGAAATAAATCTCTTTTACTGGAGATCAAGAATGAAAATCATTACTCAAGTTTGTTTATGTCCAGTATCCTGATGGTGCCTTGGTGAAACTTTAATCCTTTTTTTATTTTTAAAGAGTCCTATTTTGACATGTGTGCATTCCTACAGATAACTTGAAATCAAATATCATCATCACTCATTTTTAAAATGTGACCTACTATAATAAGATAGAAATGCTGAATGAAGCATGATTAGTGCCGTGAATTAGTTATGTCATTACAGTTTGGTTCTTTGGGTGCTAAGATGTGGTCAGCAGTGAAATAGAGACAGATGTGGGCTTAGGCAGGATTTACAAAACAGGAAATCTCACGATGCTGTGAAAATTCCAAAAATACAGAACCTTTTCAGACAAGTCCACTTACTCTTCATTTCTTCTAGGAAGAGTAAGGAGTCCCTGCTTCACTGCAGGCACCAAATACAGCCCATTTGGTCTGTCAAGACTCTGGCTTCCAGGGGCTGGGGATTTAGCTTAGTGGCATAGGCAACTTCCCTGCAAGCAGGCAGTCGTGGGTTCGATCCCTGGTACGGGAAAAAAAAAAAAAGACTCTGGCTTTCTTGTAGCATCTGCTTTTACTGGGCTCCATGTGTCATCCATTATGTTCGTTGGTCATGAAATCTTGAAAGTAAAAGAACCAATTTCAGGTTAGAAGATTAGTTTATTTATGTATCATTCCGGTGGTGAATGATTAGCCTAAAGCTTTAGACATGTCTGACATTTTAAAGACCTTTTGATTTAGATTGGCATGCTTTGCTGTGTACAATGTCTTTAAATACAGAACCCTGTGTTCTTAAATATTTAATCAGTATACAAGAATTAGGCGTGGACTGCAGAAGAAGTCCTTGTGCTGCCTATTGTCATTAACAGTGTCCCCTGCCTGGACACAGCTGTGTAGTATGCAAGAGCTGTCTTAAAATAATGGACCTGCATATAAATGTCAAAACAATAAAGGTGTTCTTCCCTCCAGCATGATCTTCCTCCCAGATAGTGACTTCCCCCTCCTCTGGAGGAGTCCCCACAGTTCCTGGACAGAAAAGTATGCGGTGTGTATCTGAACTCTTCCCATACAAAATCCTTGACCAAGGTCAGCAAGCCAGCCACTTCCCATTTGTTTACTTAAGAACTTCCTTTTTTGAATCTCTAACAACTTTTTTCAAGAAATTGAAACTTTCTATATGTCTCACCTGCCAAAAAGGCCAGACCTCTCTTGAATAATTGGAAACCACTGTGAAAGAGAATTTACACCCTAGAAGGGTGGTGAGTCATGCCACTTATTTTTTCTATTTTTAAGTAACAGAAACGGCTAATGAGTCAATGTTTTGATCCATTTGGAATCGGTACCACTTAACATTCCCTCTCTGCTTAAAAACTGTCCTTGAGAGTTGTATAAGAAATAAGAAAAATGTTCACCTAAGAAAACTTCTGGAATGTTCCTGCACATTTGAAACACCTATTATTCTACTAAAATATTAACAGACAAAAGGAGAACCCAGAAGAAATAGTTTTTTGCTCTCTAATTACTTTTCATCTGTTTATTTAATATCTACTAATCATTTAATAAATACTTAGTAGTCACCTGGTATGTGCTAGGCTCTGTACACTTCCAGTGATGAACAATATAAAGATTGTCTCTGCCCTCTGACACTTTCAGACTAATAAACCAAAATAACTTTTGAAAAACATATAAAGATATAGTGAGGGAAGAGAAGAAGATTAAAAAAAACTAAACTGTGTCATGTACATGTAAAAACTCCCCACAGGGAATGTAATTATTATGTGCTAATAAAAAATAATTATTTTAAAGAAAAAAATCACAGATAAGTTAGGACAAAGCATACATAGAAGTATAGGTGAGAGAGATCATGAAATCAGAGGGATATCATAATCAATTCCTTAAAAAGAAGCATAGAACAAGAAGATATCCTGGGTTGCAGTGAGGGGACAGGTATTGCCAAGAGCAGCTTGTAGCTACGGAATGGTTTTGGGTGTTGTGGGATTTAGTATAGAAATGACAAACAGGTGGCCATGAACAGTGATCTGGAAGAAGGGGGCCAAAGAGACTTATGGCAGGCTCTTGGGTAGTAGGTGATGGTGGCCTCTCTCGGACAGCGACCATGGGGATGAAAAACAAGTGGCCCAGGGAGGGCAGTGAGAGATGGCAGCCGTGCTGAGGGAGGACAGGAGGACAGAGGTGCTTCAAACGCTTGGGCAAGGAGTAGAAGCTGGTGCCACTTGCTGGGAGAGAAATGCAAGGAGCAGGTTGAGGGCACAGGAGTCATGTGACTTTGAACACCTTGTCTTTGACTTGTCTGTGAAACCTCCCAAGGGCCACACTAAGGGATGAGTATAAAACACAGACATCAAGCTGAAAGTGATAGCCAAGTTGCAGAAACTTTAAAATACAAGTCAACAAATAGAACATGTAGGTACTATTTTTAATAGAATCGTTTTGTGGTAATTAACTTTACAAACAGCTTTTGAAATCTTCTTTTGCAAAGGAGAAAACACAGTCTCCTACCTTTGTCTCTTGAACATCTGTGACAGCACTATAATTTCTAATGAGTTTGGTAATTATTAACAACACTGCTGGTCTCTAAAAGGAAAGATACAGAGAACAAAAGACATTGCTACAGAAGAACATAGATGAGGACCAGCCACCTTGTCAATGTATTTTTAGTATATGAACATGAAATATTTCCAACTTCATACAATATTTGCAATCAAAATCAGATTCATAAAGAAATACAAGACTTTACTGGGTTTTCATTTTTTTAAAGTTTACAACTCAGCTTAATAATTTTCAAAACCAGTGCTTCTGTTTCTTGGTTGACTTATTGTCTCACTTTTCTTGTTGCTAAGACAAAATTCTCACCACCCACAAGTTAATAGAGGAGGCGTTTATTTAACTCACAGTTTGTGGACGTTTCAGTCCATAAACAGGGGGCTCCAAAGCAGGGTGGCAGGCAGACAGGCAATGCAGAGAAGAAACAGTTCATAGCAGGCAGAACATAACAAACAAGGGACAGCCGCAGCTGTTTCTAACCCCTGTCTCTTATCCAGGCTGCTGAGGGCAGGTGGCACTCAAACCCTTGCTCCTAATGCCCTTGATTTCAGATAGCATTGCGCTGTGAATCAATTCCAATGTCACACACAAGCCACTTTTGAAAAAGCCCCACCCATGACCACAGGAGCTTTGGGGGGACACAAGCCATTACACTCATACAAAGGCCATGGCAGGGGCAATATAATTTTCTCACCTGCAGCCCATAGCTGTTTCTGCACAATAAAAAAGACACAAGATAAGGACTTGACAAGTAATTCTGGTGGTTTGACTAGCTTCATGAAGAAAAAAGAAAGAAGTTTTTTTTATAAAGTACCCATTTTCCAAAAATTTTGCATTGTGAAATGGAATGAAAATAAAACATATTTCACAGTTACACTTTATTCATTACACATTTATTTCTAAGACTTAAAACTTTTCTTGACAGTCTACACTGCCAGATCATAGCACAACCTATGTGACCAAGACGGAAAACACAGGGAAAGGTTCACATGCAGAAGACACACATGCTAAGGAAACGTAAGGATGCTTCTTGTGCTCTCAAAAACATCAGTGATTTTTTTGTCAATTTTTATTCAAGAGGTACAATCTTATCCTAACTGGGCCTCTGAAGTTGGTAAAGAAAATGAACTCTGGCACTTCTCTGCATTTATTCCTGTAGAGAGTGAAGAGGAGGAATGATTCCCCTGTGCTAGAGTCTGCCAGAGCTGCCTAACACAATGCTAGAGCGGGTGCTGAAATAGGCCAACTTCCTTCTCAGTAACAGAGGCCAGGGTCCAAGACCAAGGTATGCACAGGTTCGCTTTCTGCCCAGGCGTCTCTCCTCGGCTCACAGACGTCCCACCGTGTGCTCGCGTGGTCTTCTCACTCTGTGTGTAGCTCTGTGTCTGAAGGAGTTCGTCAGATGAAGACATCGGTTAGCTTGGGCTGGAGCCCACATGGAAGACCTCATTTTGACTTTATCACTGCTTAAACTTACTGTGCAAATACGTAACATTTCAAGGCACTGAGAGTTGGGACATCCATCTGTGACTTTAGAGGGGCCACACAATTTGGCCCCTAGCAATTCTATTTGCGTCCAATTAGCAGCAGAGGTGTAAGAACATCTCTAGAGTGTGGAGGCAAAGGGAAATGGAAACCGTTTCTGGGCACCCCATGACTTTACAATCCACGAATGAACACACAACAACAACAAACTGTTCTTCATACAAAAGTAAAACACTACTTTCCCCTAAATTCACAGTGCTTAGCAATGGCTTACGGTTGCGTTTTGGCAACCCATGAAACTCTTAATTGAGCACCTTTAACAAGCCTTGTTTTCAGCAAACTCACACAGCAAACTTGGCAAAGAGGAAAAACCTCCAGGGCTGGTGAGTTGTTGACAGTTAATGTTGAAGATACCATTTCCAAATTTGTACAAGCTATAGCTGGTTTGTTTTGTTTTTTAAATAGGAGCTTTCAAAATCCAACTGACAATTTGGGGAATAAGTCCTAACAATGAAGTAACATTTTCCTTTTTAAAATGTCATTTTTTTCTATCCTGAAGTTTATATTTATGCTATCAAAAAATAAGAAATATTGTGTCTTACAGTACATAAGAGTTTAACAGCAATTATAGTAAAACATTAAGTAAATTTAAGATTATGTCTGTAATTATCATTCAAATAAATTTTGTGTATATTTAGTTGTTTGTTTTTGAGACAAGGTCTCTACATTGTTTAGGTTATTCTCAAACTCATTAAGAATCATAGGGTGGCCTCAAACTCATGATGACCCACCTGTCTCAGCCTCCTAAATGTTGAGATTATAGATGTGCATCACCACATTCAGTCCAAATTGTGTTTTAAAGTCTTCAAAATATTGTGTATGCGCATGTGTGTATGTCCATTCATTGAATAGCAAACCACTGTACGTGTTAGGCATGTTTATAGTCTGAGCTTTCTCATATAGCTTTATTCCCAACAAATTGCAGCACTTACAGATTCTTTCTTTCTAGATGATTATTAGAAAATAATCATCCAACAAGGAAATTATTCATTGGGGTATTAGTTATTGGTTATGACATGCTTCTCTTATGAAAATGAAAAAATAAATACTTAAAAGTAATTCCTCAAGGTGTATTTCAGATAGTACTGCATTCTTATAGGAACTGTTTTTGACATTCTTTGTCAATAGCACTTGTCAAATTTTAAGTTCCCTATTTTTCTGAATATTTAACCTCACTACAAAGGGATATTCAGTCAGTTAAAGTAGGCGTTATCAAATGATTAGAAACTGATTCTGTCCATCCAAAACATAGAACCCTTAGCAGGTTCCAAGACAAAGAAGTAACATGATGCCAACAGCACTGACTTAGGGCTTCCTGAAATTTTAGAAGACATTCTACACAGGAAATGCCCCCAAACTGCCCTATAGACATTGAGATGTTGGGTAATAAAGAACCTTTTTGCTACGTAACAAACCTTAAATATGTAGACCAGATTGAAAGCCAATTATCAAGCTAGAACCATACAGTGTAGCTCAAACTGAGAGGGTTGAGATGCCAGAGCTGCCTGGGCAGCCGCTCAAGGGAAAGCAAGAACTGGTTATTGATTAATACTGGGGGTCTCAGAAGACATGGGGACGGGAAATTAGAACACAGGGCACCGGGAGCAGAGCAGAGGAAATAAGCTTAATGCAGAAATGTGGTGGTAAGGCAGCCAGTGGCATTAAATGAAACAAAAAATGCTTGGGATGATTAGAAAGGAGTATTTTTTTAATCTACCCAGATCTATGTGTTAAAATATAATCAGCTACAAGAAACTGAGAACCTAGGCCTCCTCTGTTCCAGGACAGAAGGCCTGAATTCATGTGATGTACAAGTGTGTACACCCCAAACAGAGAAATAAAAAGTTTACCCAAGACCTGTGCTAAAAGCATGAAACCCAGGAAAGAAGGGTTTTTGCCATCCTGCAAGGCAAGAGTTTTTACCATTATTGAACTTTTCAAAAAATGTCAAGGTTGTCAAAGAAAATAAAAGCTTGAGTCTGTCCCACGTGAAAGGACACCAAAGGACTATGACAGTGATATTCAGCGCGTGGTCCTTGAGATGATGGATTCAAAAAAAGAAGAAAAATTATGAGAGCTATTTTCAGAGTCATTGAGGAAATCAGATCAAGGGCTGGATACTGGAGGGTATTCGGGTATCAGCCTGAATTTCTTTGATGTGATAATGACATTGTGACTATGCACAAGGTTCTTATTTTTGTAAGATGCTTGCTGAAGTACTTCAGACTGGAATGCTGGGGGTCTGGTGCATACATGAGACAGAGAAAGCAAAACGTTAAGTCGCTGCCTCTCAGTGAAGACTATCAGGGTGTTTGCGCATCGTAATGCTCTTTCAACTTTTCTGTCGGTTTAAATTTGTCAAAATAAAGGCTTATTTACAGACTAAGCAAAGTGGAAATCTGATTTTAGAAAATCTGCACATAAAAGGCATGGATACTGGAAATGGATTTAAATTAAAGAATTCTATATATCCTTGACACATTTGGGTACGATGCAAAAATATTGATTAATTTTAGACTCTATTCAGGTAAACATGTTTAAAGATGTCAAGAATTACCACAGAAATGTAAGAAACAGGGGTTGTAACTTTCAAAGTAGCAAAGAGAGGAAAAATAAAAATTTTGAAAGAAAAAATGAAATAAGCTCAACCGCTCTAATTTAGGGACTAAAAATATACATAGATGTAAAATAAGATGACAGAAATAAGTCCAATAAAATCACAATAGCAATCTAAAACTCATTTCTTTACAGTAAGTCTAATACACATTTTCAGCAAAATAATATAGAATGAGTAAAAATGAAGTATAAATAAATACAAGACAAAGATAAAACCAGAATTAACACAATATGAAGAAAAATAAAGCTTAGGGGAAGAAGTTTTAAAAGGATATTAAAAGACACTGCATGACAATTTACAAACATACATCATTAAGGTCTTAACACTCATGAATACAATTGCACTGTGACCTAAAGTGTGCGTGTGAATGGATGAAATTTCAAGGACGAGGAGACACAAGGGAGAGTGCACTATTACAGCAGAGTGTTTCTGTTCACTTCTTTCAGAAACGGAAACATCAGCAAAAATTTGCCACACAGAGTACAGAATATTTTAAAGGTACAACTGAGAACATTTTCTTAATATACAGGATCCTGCAATTATAAGTTGGCAAAAAATGTATGCTCTATAAGTATACATTAAAACATTTTCAAAAGCTATTACTCAACTTTAAAGTAAGCCTTGACCCATTTCAAAGGCTCAGCATTAGGTAGGCCACAATCTTTTGGCAAAATGGAATTATATCAAATTACCCAATAAAAAGATAGAATACATTTGAAAACAAAATATACATATGTGCTGAGTAATAACTTAAAAATTATAATTCACATTATGAAATACTTATAATAGCATATAATAAGAATTAAATTGATAACTTCGAAGGAAATTATAACCTTTACTCTTTTTAGTTAAGGTTATGATTTCTCTTCAAACTACCATTTTTTAATGTTTCATAAAAGTAACAGTAAATTCAAATAAATAGAAGGAATGGCATAATGGATGAAATAGGAAAAACAACATAATCTCTTCCCTACAAATCAATTTTTAAAAAGGCAAAATAACCAAAGATATGAAGAAGCAAAATTCATGAGAAAAATGGATAGCCAATAAAGTACGAATATATCTTAATTCACTGATAATCAGGCGATCTGAGACAAATGTCAGAAAGTAGAATTTCATACCAACTCAGCTGGATAAAATGGAGAAGGACCAAATATGAAGTTCATGAAGATGTGAAAGACAGCCTAGCAGAATGTTGACAAGAGGTTATATTTGCACAGTCGCTCGGGCCATCAGGCAAAGGCTGCTATAGATGAAAATGCGTACGTCCTGTAACCTTCCAGTTCCACTGCCAGATGAGTGGTCCTCTCTTCCCTTAAGGGAAATGATCCAAGACACTCGGTGGATGCTTGAAGCCAAAACTTATGGACACTATGGATTTTTTTCCTATATGCATAAACATGTTAAAGTTTAATTTAAAAATTAATCACAGTAAAAGATTAACAACAACTAATAATAAAATACAACAAACACAACAATACAGTCTAATAAAATCACCACTATCACTACTCTTGCTTTGGGGACATTATTGAGTCAAATAAAGATTGCCTGAGCACAAGCATCGTCATGCCGTAGTATTATTGCATCTAGTAACGGCATTGTCTCAGAGACAAAAATCAGCTCGAAAAGTGGATGGGCAAAAAAAGAGAAAAGTGGACCTGGGAATTGGAATGAAGTAGATTTCAAATCTATTGGTCAATCTGGATGTATAATGTAAATATATACATATTGCATGTTGTGTATATATATATATATATAATATAATGATAATCTAAACAGCCTCTGAATGAAATCACCAAAACTCAAACCAAGTATTTACAGCCCATTCACATCTAGCTAAAAACCAAATATAAGTAAACAAAACTACCTCGGAGCCTAGGTATCTCTGATTTATCTTAACTGTGCCAGCAAGGCCTATCTAACCTTGAAGCTCTGTGGACTGTTTTGGTCCTCGCTCTCCTGATTGTTGAACTTGTGGCCAAAATAGCTAACCCTTCAAAGTGTCTATTTGGAAGCCACAGGAAGGAATCGCTCTGCAGGCTGACATAGGTAATCTTATTCTTTAGCTTCCCCGGTATGGCTCTGACTCGGGAAATACAACCGAAGCTCAGGGTAAAGCTTTCATCTCCCCATTCTCCCTTCTCACGCCACGCACAGTCCTGCCTTGCTCTCCTCACTGATGAGTGGATCACACATCATTAGATAGCTAGTCCTGCCATGCCA